CAAGTATCGGAGATCTGCAAGTCATGTTATCATCATATCCGGACCATCGGAAAAATACGCCATCTACTGACTGAATGTTCTACAGCTGCCCTTGTTCGTTCCCTCATTCTTTCCAGAATAGACTATTGTAATAGCTTGCTTTTAAACATCCCACAAGAGCTCTTGAACCGTCTGCAACGCATAGAAAATATTGCGGGCACGTATTGTGAGCAAAGCACCAAAATTCTCAAGCATGACCCCTATTCTAAAACAGTTACACTGGTTGCCCATAAGAGTTAGAGTGAACTTTAAAGTTTTAACCCTTGTCTACCAGTGCATACTAGGCACTGCTCCGGCTTATATCAAAGAACTGTTCAAACCATATCTTCCATGCAGACAGCTTCGCTCCAGTGACAAAAACTTACTTCACATTCAAAAATGGAAGTTGAAATCCTATGGTTCGTTCAGTGGCGGCCGCGATGAACTGGAATGAGCTACCAGCTCACCTTAGAACAAGCCCAACAGTCACATGTTTTAAAGCAAACCTAAAGACATACCTTTTCTCTATGTTTTACAAGTGACTCCTAAATTCTATCTTGTCTGCGCTTTGAGCATGCTGTCGGTGTGGATTTAGCGCAATACAAATGGACTAATTATTATTATTATTATTATAAGAGGCCTTTTGATTGGTGGTTAGTTAAAGATTATAATGGAGGAAATTGTGTTCAAAGTTAGTGATAAGAGAAATGGAGCTAATATTGTGGTTGTGAAAGGGTCCCAGGTGTACATATTCATAACAGATTAGCATAGTGTAACCTAGTAGTATAGTAACCTATGGGTTAAAGGATCCACTTATCACACCAAAAGCACATTCCTAGTGTCCCCAAGCATGATATTGCTTGAATATTGCTGAAAGTGTAAAATGCTACTCACTCACTCACAAAAGGCGGGGCGGTGGGGTAGCCTAGTGGTGTAAGTGTTCTATGTGAAGTTCTGGGTTTGATTCCCACATGGTTACAATGTGTGAAGCCCATTCCTGGCGTTCTCCGCCATGATTTTGGTGGAATATTGCTCAAACCATACTCACTCACTCTCACATAAAGCCGACATGCTGATATCTAATTTGAATATACTCACTTAATCAAGGCGGTGGGGTAGCCCAGTGTTTAAAGCATTCATTCATCACACTGAAGGCCTGTGTTCGATTCCCCACATGGGTACAAAGTGTGAAGCCCATTTCTCAAGTCCCCCACCATGATATTTGCTGAAATAATGCTAATAGCAGCATAAAACCAAACTCACTCCCTCACTACTCACTAATTCACTATCTTTCAAAACCATCACTCACTCACTCACTCACTCACTCACTCACTCCACCCTCACTCCTCACTCACTCACTCCTCACTCACTCCTCACTCACTCACTCACTCACTCACTCACTCACTCCTCACTCACTCACTCACTCACTCACTCACTCACTCACTCACTCACTCACTCACTCACTCACTCACTCACTCACTCACTCACTCCTAGGATGCTGATATGACGATGATCAAGGATGTGCCAAGCATAACCTATCCCAATTTAAATCACATTCAGACAAATTGTGCTCACTAGTACAAGGCCAGATCGATAGTCAGTGGTAGTCAATTACACAATTACATGCAGAAATAATGTTTGAACGTTTGACAATGTCCCTCATTCAAATTGTTTTGATACCTTTTATGTAAGTACCATGTGTTGCAAATATATTGATATTGTAATGGGAAAATAGCTACGCATATCACCTGTGTTTTTATATTTATTGTGCTGGTCTTCAGCTTGCAAACTAAACTACACACTTTTAATGCTAACATATTATATCTATTTTCTAAAACAGATAAGAGTACTAATCTCTTTGTATGTAATAATCATTTAATGTCCTTGTAAATGTAATCAAAGGTTACATTCACAAAAGTAACTTCAACAACTGCAGAGGAGTACAGTGCCTGATTAAAATGCGACATTTTGTTGTAAAGTGCCAAATTATTTGCAGTAATGTTTATAGAAATCTTTCTCAAAACCGTAACTTTGAATGTTGTATAATAATTTATAGCCTGGAGCTTCAAAGTAGTTCCTGCTAGGTGACAATATATATCAGAATGTGATACCATGTTTATCAGTGTAGTATACTGCATATATATATCATATGATACAAATATCATGGGTGTGACTTGTTTCTATGTACCAGTGAGTGCAAAGTCAGCATGGCAACCAGGATCTCACAGCTCCAACACAATATTGATTCCTGCTGGAGTGACCCAACTAACTGCACTATCCTACAAATCTATGCTAACAGCTACTGTTTCCTACCTACATTCTATGTGGAACTAGGACAGCTGACACAGCCACACATGATAGCAAGCAATGAAATATATTTGTTCACTACCATAGTTATCCATATACAGTACAACCAGAAATTATTGAGAATTTAAAGATTGTAATTTTTTATTTTTTTTCACTCATTACTCACGTATTAAATGTGAATATTAGCAGAACATAACTCCAGATTCAAAGACAGGTGAACAGTTAGTATTTTGTCAAGTCACCATGGGCAGCAATTCAGGCTTCAATGCGGCGGGGCATACTACTGATCAAAGAAGTTGGAGAGTCGTGGTCCATGCTGTCCCAATATCGGACCACCTCTTCTTTCATTTCAGCAATATTTGTCAGATATTTCCTATTGACACTTTCCTTCATAAGTCCCCAAACATTTTTTATTGGATTTAAGTCAGGGCTATAGCTTGGCCAATATAATAATGTCATATGTTGGGTCCGATACCAGGCCTGTGAATGCTTTGAACGATGTTTTGGGTCGTTGTCCTGCTGGAAAATCAAAAAAATTCCATAGAACACGTGAGCAGATGGAAGTAAATGTCCCTCGAGAATATCTGTGTAGCGCTCACTGTTCATATTCCCTTCAAATACACAGAGGGGCGTTGCCCCTAACACAGATATGCCACCCCACACGTTCAATATCGGACTGTACTTTGGGCGCTGACTTTTTGGGCGACTTTTCTGCCAACCCATTGCATGCTGCTCAGTTCTAATTGTCTCCTTACAGACAGCCACAGTTCCTCTATCAATCATATCCAGCCTTAAGTTTTCTAACCTCCTTAGTTTGTTTTTAGAAACAAGAATACCAAGCCGCCTCCTGTCACCGACAGTCAATTTTCTGGGCTTACCTGCGCCTCCCTGGTGCTCAATGCCATATCCATTTGCAATATTTATCAAAACACGATAAACAGTGGACAAAGGGATACCTGGTCTACTTGAAATCACTTTAGCTGATCTGATGTCCTTGTTATAATACTCTAAAATCAACTTCATCTTCTCTAAACCATCCATACTGAGGATCACTGAAAATGTCGTCTGCTAGCAAGTAAACAAAGGGAGATAACTCTTCACAAACTAATGAAAAAGGATTAACGGAGTTGTCTCTCTTGAATGAAACCAAGCACTTGATAGCTGGTCAAGGTTGTTTATACTAGAAACCCAATTAAACATATTCCTAAAATTCTCAATAATTTCTGGTCATACTATAATATACATACCACATAGCGTTATTTATGCCACAACATTTTGAAAATTCCTGCAGATATTTTTACTCTCATTAGTTTTAAGTTTCAACTCTTTTTATTAATGCACATGACTTAAATTATGTTATATAAATCCTAAAGTAAACCTTAGACACACATTAATTTAATACACATTTATAAGATGATATCACCATGAATACATGTTGAGTTATGCATGAATAAAACATTTTTATGATGTAATTTTTAAGGACTCGCTGTTATTGTGCTATTAGTTTTCATCATCTTGACAACTTACATTTGCACTAGGATCTGAAATGAAAGTGGGAACTATGTTCATATTAATAGATTAATTATGGTCTGCAAGTTTGCCATGTGCAAGGTTTATCTTGTTTCACACAGTGGTGCAGGTGCTACAGCGCTATAGGTGCTACATCGATATTAGGATTGTGTTTATTGTGGACAGTGGGGATCTACCCAGGTCTTTCTGTACGTGAGTCTTGGTGGTTATCAAGTTATATCAGTTGCTATAGTTCCAACAAGCAGGGTATAAAGTACTCAAGGTCTGCTCATTATTGATCAGAATTGGTATTTATCTGTCACTTTATTATATACCCATGTAAACTTAGGATAGTAATACAGAGGTGCAATACGGATGATGTGGTCAATTCCGTATTGCATCCCAGATTCCGTATTGCACCCCAGATTCCGTATTGAACGCCTGCAGGTTCTACTTTCTCCAAAGCTTGGCACTGTCTGAACTCGTTGTTTCTCTGCTCCCATGACATCTTCTCGTTCAATAAAAGACATCCAAATGCACTAGTATGACATTTTATATATATGCACAATAGTCTGTCATACAGACGCTGAAACAAATTTATCCAAGAAAGCCCATGCAAGTCTAGCATATATGTGTCAGGTCTAGATTTCCACAGTCACCATTTCTAAAAAGGAAGAAAGTCTCTGGGCTCCTTTTCATTATATTTTATGATTATAATTTAGGAACTGTTTTTTTTCTGTAAAATATGTTGATTTCAGAGACTAGATGTTAGTCACAGTGTTTTCACTCACCTGTCCTTTTGCAGTATGATTTATAAGTCACTGTCACTATATATAATCGGGGGCGGTGGGGTAGCCTAGTGGTTAAAGCGTTATTGTTTTCGATTCTGGGCACAATGTGTTAAGCCCATTTCTGGTGTCCCCGGCCATGATATTGCTGGAATATTGCTAAAAGCGGCGTAAAACTAAACTCAGTCAGTCAGTCAGTCAGTATATATAATCGATATTGTTTTTACTCAGTTAAACTTTTGCAATAGTATTATAGCTATTGATATACTATCGCAGTAATGTTTAAGATGTCCATGTGCTGTTACAGCTGTGTATGAACTATTGTTGAACTGTTAGTATTTAGTTTTAAACTACATAATGTATTTGCTCTTGTTTCAGAGGATGAAGATTTTCGGGATAGAGTTTGCTCCCCTTAGGATTCCCTTGGAGCGACGCCTGCAGACTGTAGCAGTTTACCAGTTCACTCTGTCGTTCTTGTTCCTGGGATTCTTCTGTGTCTTCCTGTCTTTCTACCTGCTATTCACACGTTTCTACTACATATCCTTGATCTATGCAGTGTGGTACTACTATGACCGCCCCCGGAGCTCCCGCGGAGGTCGGCGTGTCCAGTGGGTCCGCAGTTGGAGTATATGGAAGTACTATGCCAACTTTTTCCCTCTGAAGCTGACAAAGACAGTGGAGTTGAACCCCAACAAGAACTATATATTTGCAAGTCATCCCCATGGTGTTATGTGTTACAGCCATTTTTGCAATTTTGCCACAGAAGGCACCGGATTCAGTGAAATATTTCCTGGCCTGCGTCCATACTTACTTACCCTCGCAGGCCAATATACGTTTCCATTCTTCAGGGACTATTTTATGTTAACAGGTAAGTGTGGCTGGGCTGGCTATTGTGTGTGTGTGTGTGTGTGAGTTTGGTATTACGCCGCTTTTAGCAATATTCCAGCAATATCACGGCGGGGAACACCGGAAAAATGGGCTTCACACATTGTACCCATGTGGGAAATCGAACCCGTGTCTTCAGCGTGACGAGCGGACGCTTTAACTAAGCTACCTCACCGCCCCGGCTATTGATAATGTGATATAGATCATAGAGATCCATAACTAAATATCGATCAATAATAAATAAAATCAGAGAAGTAGCTTTAAGCAAAAGTGCACTAACCAAAATAACTACATTTCACAGGCCAGACTAATTTTATTTTTTGTTTTACAGATTTTTGTCCTCAGAAAACCTGAAGGCAGGAGGGTTAAAATAAATCACCAGTCAAAGCAAAAACCCACATGAGTTTCCATGTTAATTCTTTTGGTTTGTTTATATCAACTAAAAATAACTTGAGTGAGTTTAGGTTTCACACTGATTCCAGAGTATTTCACTTATATCACATTAACATTAGGATTTTATTTTTTGAGCGGGGAAAATTAATTTTTATTTTTTTTCTTATTCCTGAAAAATATGACCGGCGGATCCATAACACAAAAAATTGAGAGTGGTGACATGTTTATGCATGGATTACTAACAAAACAGCTCACTCAACATAATTTAGAAACAGCTCATGAATAAAAACTTAACTTTGTATTGTGTGAGTAAATTAGAACTTAATTTTACCACAAATGTTTATGTACGTAATTATCAAGGACACAATATCCATACTGATAACATTAATCATTTTTCCTATCGACGATATTTCCCATTATCAATCTTTTTAGCCAGGCCTAAAGTGGAATTAGAGTGATGAACTTGTAAATGTTTTAGAATTGTGTTATATGTAGACGCTATGAGTTAGAACATGTTGGCAGGCTGCAAGCCACCTGGCTGTCAGTTGGTGGTAATTTCTGGTAATTGTTTGATCAGCATTCTAAAAGTTAGTGAGTCAATAATGAAGCATACAGCTTCATGGATGACAACTGCTTGTTTATTGCAATGTTACTTTTAGCTTGAAACGTCGCTCTATGCACTAAACAAGAGGTTGTCATCCATAAAGTCATATTTCTGGTAGATTTATTTCATATTGAGATATTTTGTTTGAGATTTGCTATTTTTCTTTGCTTTTAACATGACAAAGTAAAACATGTGAGCAGATACAGTTTCTGTATGTGTTCTGTTTCAAAATATTAAATAAACACTTTGAAGTAAATTGGAATGAGCAAAATGAGAAAAAGAAAGTACAACAGGGATGATATAGTGTTGTCTAAAGAACTACTCCACTGATATTATCTGGCTTGTATGTATCCCTTATCTGTAGAACTAGTATTCTTTACCATCACTACACAAAGATTCCTGTGATTATATCAGTTACATGGTCCTGTGTGTGTAAGACCAAACCCAGTTCTGAGATATACGTCATGAGGTTGGTGTTTCAGGGTCCTGTAGTGCAACCAAGGAAAGTATGGAGTATATTTTATCCAAGGTCGGGAAGGGCAACGTCCTTGGCCTTGTTGTTGGAGGAGCCATTGAAGCACTGAATGCTTCTCCTGGAAACTTCAAACTCAATTTGAAAAGTCGGAAAGGTTTTATAAAAATAGCCATGAAACATGGGTAGGTATATTCATGAACATAGGAAACTTCTTGTAAATGGTTTTGTCTGAAAGGTATACAGAAGTATTTTCTCAATGACAGTGTGTAGAATCGCTGAGGACCTATCCTAACCTGGAATCCTGATGGGGCACCACCTGCCTGAACATATTCCTTCATGATACTAAAATATAATGACCCATAGTCTTCGATCTATGGACCTGTGAAGATCAGTGTTAGAGATGGCCTTCTGCCACCCATGCTTGTCATAAGAGGTGACTAATGGGATCAGGTGGTCAGACTCGTTGACACGTCATTGTATCCCAATTGTGTAGATCAATGCTCATGATGATCACTGGACGGTCTGGTCCAGACTCAATTATTTACAGACTGCTACCATATAGCTTGAATATTGCTGAGTGCGGCGTTTACCGAAAAACAACAACTACAGTTTGATCTATGGAAGCATATTAGTGCCATGCTACTTTGTAGATGGAAGTATGTTTTTAGACAGTGTCAATAATATGCATTCTTGTTCCCATACATGCCTAAAGGACTCTCTGAGTTGTTAGAAGTAAGTATTCAGCAAGGTATATTTCAGCCATCTAACTTTCGTACTCTCCATGTGGTTGGTTTGATGATTTTGGACAATGGGATAAGTATCGTGGGGTAAAATGACACTATTTGATAGTAAGACTGGATGCATGTGTTCCCTGGTCTGAAAGTTTTAACTAGTGTGTTGGTCCAATAGCTAATCTAGACAACCAGCGGTCAGACTTCCATTATTGTGTGAAGCCGAGTGGGTTAGATTGTTTGCTTTGTGTGCTGACCATTAGGTGCCTGACCCTGAGAGTGTGGTTTCGAAATTTGTATGGGGCTCATGCCCCCAAAAAGTATTAAAATCTGTACTTTAAAATATAATCCCAAATACAATGTATAACATGTTACAAGAATCTCTTGCTCATCAGGTACCACTGTACTCACCCCATACATGGCTTCAGATAACAAGGGGCGGTGGACTAGCCTAGTGGTTAAAGCATTGCTCCTCACGCCGAAGACCCGGGTTCGATTCCCCAAATGGGTACAATGTGTGAAGCCTATTTCTGGTGTCCTCCGCCATGATATTGCTGGAATATAACTAATAGCGACGTAAAACGCAAACTCACTCACTCACTCAGATAATGATGATGATCATCATGTTTCTTTCAGAGCGGATGTCTGTCCTGTATATTCCTTCGGAGAAAATGACTTATATTCTCAAGTGCCTAATCCAGAGGGGTCCTTTGTCCGCAAATTACAGCTAGTGCTAACCCGGATATGTGGGTTTTCTCCACCAATATTTTTTGGGAGAGGCGTGTTCAATTATACCTTTGGACTCCTGCCCCACAGACGACCAATGAACACAGTCGGTAAGTCGACCATGACCCTTGGGTGTAACTACATGTGTCAATAGTTAAAACTCTTCTTCTATTTGATCATGATGATCAGCTTTTGTATGATTCAAAGTGGATGTTGAACTTGAGCTGGTACGGAAATTTAATCTTTAGGACTATAAAATGGGTCCTGTTTTTAAGGTCATATACACCCATCCATTGTTTACGTTTCCTCCTTGTTGAGAAGAGATTTGTTTGACTAGGAGCAGTAACTGAAAACCATTCTTTCTGTAGCAAAACTTCCTCAAGTAAATTATGCTGGCGTCTACACTATGGATGATTTGGTTCAGATATTGTTTCCTACCGGTCATTATGCTGTCACGTGTTTATTTTCAGTGGGAAAACCTATTGAAGTTACAAGGAATGAGAATCCCACCAATGAAGAAGTGGCTGATCTTCACCAAAAGTACATCGATGCTCTGAAAGACTTGTTTGAAACTCACAAGACCAAATATGGCATTGGTGAAGACGAGCATCTTATCATTGAGTGAAAACAAAACCAAATATGTTTCGGATGAAGAGAACCATCTTATCATTGAGTGATAAAAAGATCAAACATAATATAGTTGAAAATGAACTTCATATTGAGTGATAACTCCAAATATGTTATGGATGAAGAGAGCCATCTAATTATTGAGTAATAAAAAAGACCTAATATTACATAGATGAAAATTAATATCATATTGAGTGATAACACCAAATATGTTATGAATGAAGAAAGCCATCATATTATTTAATGATAACATGACCAAATATGGTGATGAGGAGAAGAGACATACTATTATTGATGGCAATACCAAATATGGTGCTGATGAAGATTGCCATTTTATTACTGAATGATAACATGACCAAATATGTTGCTGATGAGGGAAGGGGTCTTGTTATTGATAATAAGGCCAAATATGGTATGGATGAAGGGAGAGCCATCTTATTATTAAGTGATTATTATTAAGAACACCAAATATGGAGTTAAAAGACAGCAATCTTATTTTAAGTGGGAAATCAGAAAGAACAGACAAATGAAAGTGGATGATAAATGGTGTTTTTTGACATATCAACTAACAGTAAATTGACAGAAATGACAGAACAGAAACTTTTATCGCCCAACATAAACTATTTTGATGTATTCTTGGGGATTAACATTCTTTGAGGCTAGTCCTGTTAATACAATAAATCAGGAACAGATGTTTTAGTTTAAAACTCAGTTGTGCAAAACAATCATAGCACCAAGCCCATTGTAACTGAAGCATGAACATAATGTGATGCAGTCTGCTTAGTGCCATGTTTAAGTTTGTGCATCTGGACCATGATATTTTAACAATTCTTTTATTTTTAACAAAATGTTTTATTTGTAAGTATTGTAATGTTTAAGTGCACAGCAAACATCACCAAATAATTTTATGGCGAAGTTTGGAGATACAAATGTTAGTGATAATGTTTTGGACCTTTCATGTTCACAGATATTTCCATAGGAATAGTGCAAATGGTCTTTCATTTCTGCATAATCAGCAATATTTCAGGCTCTTTGAGACAATTAATGTTTTTATGCCATGCATCATAAGCATGAAAAATAGCCCTGCTAATTAATGAACTGATATCTCCATTGTGTTTGTTTGTTTGTTATTGCTTCATGTTTAATTGAACATTGTGATAACTGGATAATCTTACAATAATTATGTGTTGATCTGTTTCATGAATTATGTACTTGTATGAACTACATATCACTATAATGTTTGGATGTTTAAGATATGTAGATGAAGGCATTTCAGTCTGGGAAGATGTGTAATATTTGTGAGCCTGGTTTTACAACAATTGTATTTGATTTGTCAGGCTATGTCCATGCTATTCCTCGAAAGAATGATTCCGGTGCCATGTTGATGTAGACTCTTGGAAAAGGATGAATAATGGCATAAACGGTATTATGTTAAATGAATATACATAGAGATTAAAAAACGAGTGGGTGTTGAATATGGAAAATATTCTGAGATATTTTTAAATGTTTTGATTTATTCATGAGCAAAATCAACATCCACAAGTTTTGTGATGTATATATTACCCACAGGACGGGAAAACAGTGTGATCCATGATGAAATATCAAGCAGAGGATGTGGATGTAAGCAAAACAAAAGGGAGATAACTCTGTCAAGACTACCTTATAGATGAAAATAAACAATTAAAAATATTCAATTGAAAATAATACTAATCCCCAGGACACCAAAATTGAATTGTAATTGTTTGTTTGGTTGACATTTTTGGTAAAAAACTGCTTTGGAGTTATAATGTTATTTAAAATATCGAGGTGGCAACAGAAGGTTCGGCATTATGACGTCAATATCGTTGAATAACCTAGCTTGGTTACACAACACTTGTTGGATAACTTTCAACTGGTTACACAACACTGTTTCAAATGACCAAACTTATCTCATAAAGATATTGAGAATATGTGTGTAATAAATGATAGTGTTCAAAACTGTGTTATGGTGAAGGTGAATAGACAAAAGTTGGTTCTGGTTTAATATATATATCGAAATTTAGACAGATATTCGCCTCTCTGCCTAAAACTGACAACCCCTCCAGGAGTTGCATCAGGAAACATTTTCAATTTGGCTTTTAATTTCTTGGCATAACCAAGTACTGCACCAAGCAGGATGTCTTGTTTCATATCTGGAAAAAAACCAAACAGGCAGTTCCAAATGGAAACAAAAATGATCATACTGTACTGCCAGCGAAGTTAGCCTCAATCTGTCACTCTCTTGCCTGTTGGTTGCTTTGTCGCCCTTTCATTGTGTCATCTAATGTATTGTCCAGGTGAGGGATGCAATCTTGTTTCTTAACCACATCTATGGGATCTACTTGGGTGGAGTATTTGACAGTGACCTCCAGGCTCTTTAGGTCGAATGGAGGGACACTAAGGGTAACTGTAAGGGTAATGAAATTTACTTTATATTTTTATAATCCTAACGTCACTAACATTTCATCAGTTGCCATATTTTTTTGTTGGCAGTATATATGTTTGTGTTAATGTATATGCACTGTGATGAAATACTGAAAATCTTGAAAGGACTGTAAGATGAAACTAATGAAAAATATTTTTCTTGCTTGCATTTCTAAAGTGACACATTGAGTTCATGATTTATGGTAGACAAATATCATCTGTGACAGTCTTAGATGTCTTAAACCCGTGAAGATCCGGGTTAGAATTGATCTTCAGTAACCCGTGTTTGTCATAAGGGTGGTCAGGCTTGCTGACTTTGGTTGACACGTCATCGTATCCCAGTTGCGTAGATCGATGCACATGCTGTTGATCACTGGATTGTCTGGTCCAGACTCTTATTTACAGACTGCTGCTGGAATATTGCTGAGTGCACTAAACTAAACTCACTCACTCACTTAGATGTCTTAGCACTTCAACTGTGGTAAGCTTAACATTCCTGTGATTCTAAGACATCGCACTGTAGTTCCACTGCCATTATATCTAGTCGAGAGCCTCAGTACATATAGTAAGATGTGGCATAACCTCACTATGCCCCTATTGTATACTTATATTTATATCAACTGCTCACCATTCATGAGTGTCATTAAATCACAGTTTTAAAATACTGTATTGTTTAACAACCTCAATACTTACAGAAACACACACACACATGCACGCACACCCACTACACAGAGTTTAGTTTTGAATTATGTATTAATAGTATCTATTCCAGAAGTAAACTGTGATTATCATTCAGTCTACATATACTTAACTACTGATATATACTGATAAATTGATATATACTGGTAAATCTATCAGTTTGTCCATGTGGTGTAAGGTATATCGTTTCACCACTGTTTCTTATCAAGTGCACAATCCAAGATGTTATAAAGTTCACCCCTTCTATCTGTGACTTGGTTGATGCCTAGACTGCTAATCATTATAGAGGTGTTCACATGCACTACAATTTAGGGATAACATCTTCTCTAATAAAAACTATTAGAGTCATATCAGTATTTCTCACATATGTTCCCAAGCAATGTCTAAGAAATGCTAAAAAAACTAATATTGTTTATTCAATACAAAGTAGATAAAATATTCATCACCATATCCAACAGGGTATGCTTTGTATTCTAAAAATCTATCTTACGTCTATATGGATCATACTTTCATCTATGTAGTTCATACATTCATATTACTTAAATTTACATATATGATAATCTACTTACGAGAAGGGATCATCTAGTATCGAATTAATAATTTATTTTCTTAAGAAATCGACACAATTTCCTGGACTGTTTTATGTAACCCCTGGCTTAATTGACATATTTCTTTGATGTTCAGCCTCGAGTTTTCTGTATTAAGAGGCTATCAAAACATGAAATGAGGTACCTCTACACTGAAATATGTCAAAGTTTTGTTAAATGAATATATTTAATTTTGGTTATTTCTTCAATTTCATGCTGATACTTTGAAATGATTTCAGTTGTGAAATTACAGAAAAGGCAAAATGAAAATATATGACAACATGTTGCCTGACATTTAAATATATCGAGCATATATTTGTAACTCATGTTTGTTAAACCATATCCAACTTGGTTTGTAACTACACAACTCAATAAAATGGTCTCAGTAATGATACCATTATAATACATATGGAGATGAAAGTATCTCCTACATAGATAAGTCTATTCTGCACAGATGATAAAATACTTTTACACTGAAGCATAAATATGCTCCGGGAGTGGGCACTGTGATTTTTGTTTGTATGGAGTACAATATAGTTTTTATAGTTCTATTTTTCAGAACATCAAGGTTGTCCAGTGAACTATTTGCATGCTTTAGACAAATTATCTTTTTTCAGCATTTTCAGGAAAAATAAAAAATAAAACGGTTGGCCATTTATAATACAAAATACAAGCAACACCTGGTGATGTTTAAAGTTGACACCACAAAGCATGGATGTCGACCAAATGCAGGTAGTTGCCCCAAGATAACAGTGTGGCAGGTCAAAGGAGACCTAGCAATGAAATATGTACAGAACAAATTATTTTGCAAAAAGAGAATTCTATATTTTAATAGTTATGTTTGTGTCTGAATCTGTATTTTATCATTCCTGCATAAAATCTCCACTGCTGGTGTAAATATGTGCCTCAAAACCACAATGTGAGAAGTGCATTGTTTGTAGTTTCTTAATGTTTTTATTAACATCACTTTTATTAATAAATTTAGTGTTTCCCACCTGTATTTTTATAATATTTACCAGTATTTTCTAACATGTCTGTGCTGGTTCGAGAGTGTTGTTCCAGCATACAATAGTTGGCTGTTGTTTCGTGACGCAGCAACCACCAAAGATCTAGACTGGTCTTCACCAACCCATGCTTGTCCTAAGAGGCAACTGGGATTGGGTGGTCAATCTAACTGACTTGGTTCACACGTTATTGTATGCCATTTGCGTAGATTGATGCTCATGCTGTTGATCACTGGATTGTCTGGTCCAGACTCAATTATTTATAGACCACAGCTATACAGCTTATAAACAACAAACAAACCCAAATCATTCAGCAACCAGGTGTGGATTCGTATTTGCCCTTAACTCTGAACAGCTGCATCCCCTAAGGACCCAGAACCATAAAAAGTCATAGGTCCTGATCATATTTTAATATGGAAATAATACTCTTAGTACTGGGGATGAAACAGATGTTGGCCGAAAGGACCTGTAGAAAACAAAAGCTGTGGATCCGAGTGGATTTTAGTCGGCTTCGTTCTTAAAGACCGAACACTGGCGGTGGGGTAGCCTAGTGGTTAAAGCATTACCTCGTCACGCCAAGGACCTGGGTTCCCCACATGGGTGCAACGTGTGAGCCCTGGTGTGACATTGCAGGAATATTGCTCAAACGGTGTAAATCCATACTCACTCACTCACTCAAATATTCCCAAGAAGACAAAACAGCAAAAAAATACTTAATAATTTTATTTAGAAAGAATACTTTTATCAGCTTCAGTGCATTCATTACCATAAAATTACAACTAACATTTTCAGAGATAAAAATCACAGTTGTTTTGGAATTTCTTCCCAAAAATTACAGGAATGGTTTCACAGCACTGAAAGTGTTAAAAGATGTCATCATACAATAAGACGACTTGAATGATGAAATGGTACATTTACATACACATCAGTCACAAAATGTATTCAACAGCTAGTCCATATCAGGGGTTACACTTGACAACATTTGTGCCCTGAGCATGGATGATGAAATTCAAAGTCGACACTATTTTCAACAAAACAGGTAATCAGTCCTTCAAGGAGTTGAGTTGTTCAAGTTTTTTTTTCATGAATAAACAGTAATCAATAACATATAAAGAGTTCGTCTTTACATGCAGTTGATAAAATGAAAGCAGAATTTCTGATTGTACATACAAAGTAGATATGGCACATGCTCTGTCTACAGCAGAGTATTGAGGGAAGGGTCCGTCACCGTTTTTTACACAATTTCAGTGATATCACGGTGTGCCATCTCGAGACAGTAGAAAGGGTGAAGGGATTGAAGTTGTAACCACTCCTCACTCTGCTGAAACCAGTGAAGAGGGATATGATTCTGACAAACCAAAGAGCATAATAATAATTAGGAGGTCCAAACCCAAAACCAGCGTATCCTGGCACAATTAAGGGGAGGCTACTCTTCATAGCAGCTTTTACACTACATGTGCTCAAATAATGTTGCAAAAAAATAGATGTAATAATAATAATAATAATAATGGCACTTATATTGCGCTATATCCACGCCATGAAGGTATGCTCAAAGCACATTGCCTCAAACGATGGAAACAGAGGCAGTTGAGTTCTCCACAGTGGTATGAGTTATGTATCTTTTAGGTATAGTGCTTGAAGAGGTAGGATTTAAGACTGGATTTAAAAGTTTCAAGAGATGGAATCAACTTCAGTGATTCGGGTAGAGAGTTCCACAGAGTAGCGGCTGAGACAGAAAAGGATCTGGAGCCGAAAGTTTTAAGCTTGGTGACAGGCACCCGAAGGAGCTGTTGTTGACTAGAGCGTAGAGTTCTTGAAGGGAGGTATGAGACAGTCAGATCACTCAGATAGGCAGGTCCAGTACCATGGACCATGTAAGAACTGACAGAATGAATAAGTTACACTGTGTCAGTTATCAGTTACCACGGCTACAGGTGTTTATAACAATAACTGAGATAACACTTACTCCTGTAACGTCACATTGTTACAGGTAACAGTTACGGAGACAAGTAGCTGTTAAGAGTAATGGGTGAATGGTGTAACAAACACACAATCACCAGATGCAGAGTGAGTGAGTCAGTTTGGTTTTACACCGCTTTTAGCAATACTCCAGCAATATCACGGCAGGGGACACCAGAAATGGGCTTCACACATTGTACCCATGTGGGGAATCGAACCCGGGTCATCAGCATGATGAGCGAACGCTTTAACAGCTGGGCTACCTCAGATGCAGAGACAAGATGACTACACAAAGCTTACATGAGCTGAACTCCACTGAACTGTTGGCCACAGGACCTTCAGCTCATCCGTTTGTGCCTCCCGAGCAGATTCATGGGGATAAATATTGTACAAATATGAACAAATCTACAATTAACATGCAAATCACATACAAAACCATGGAATACTATACACAGTCTATTACTCGCAATATATAAGGCCTCCTCCATGCTTATAGGTTTTATCTACAGGGTCATCTGCATAAAATAAGATAAATAGAAAACTTTTTAAAAATCTTTAATGTACAGTGCCATATGTGTGTGAGCCATCCTCTCCTATCACATGCAGTTTCCCCACAGCAGCTATTGATCTATTAATATTATTTTATCCATAATCATCTATGTATTTAATATACCACTGCAATAGTATGTTTATGAGCAGCCTGTGCAAAAGATGGGTTTGATCAGGCCAGTCTGAATAATAGGGCTGCTCAATATAACCAGTTTACCAGTATTTACCGGTTCAGGCATGAAAACGATACGTATTGCGATTCTCTGATCGAAACTGGTATTTTGACATGCATTCGGAAAACTTTGTAACAGTCGAAAAAATTCAGATATTTCCATTTTCTAAATTGTTCCTTCCCTTGTTTATTTGTGCCAAATATTACTTACATTTTTATTTTGTCATGATTACAAGTTTTTATTAAAGCCTAATCAAGCATAATGATTTGGTTGTGTTTTTGCTTTATAAATCAAGCATTAACCCGATTACAAGTAGTTTTTTGTTAAAAAATCTTCTTGCAATATATTGCAATACACATCACAATAAATGCTTTCGCATCGCAATATATCGCAATATGAAAATTCTCCACAATACCCATCCCTACTGAATAATCTTGTATGTTCTTTTTAAGTTACAAACTTAAGATTTTAAAGGGTAATGAGCATTTTCTCAATGTATTATCATGTGTCCTGACTGTATTGGAACAGTTCAAAATGAAGGAAAATAGTCTGATCAAAAAGGTGGGAAAGTTACAGCAAAGTACATTACATACTCATTTTCAATCTAAAATCCAGTTTGCTTCTCTTTTTTTCCCACTGGTCAGCATTATGCCAAGTCACAAAATGAGTATCCTAAAAATAACCATCAAATTCCAAACAGCCAGAGGGTCCCTTAAAATGTAAAAGATTTTCTCTGGACTAGTGAAGGTTGAAAGTAATCTCCCTTTGGTGACTCTTTATTCTCTCATGGCACAAAATGATAGGAACTTCATAAGTGCAAACAGTCAACAGCTGAACATATAACCAATATAGATGATACACTTATTGCTTTGCACCAGAATTCCAAACACTTCATCTCATCCAGTGAAATTCATATGGAACAGAATAACATCACACTAAAACAAAGAATTTAAGCACTCCAAAATAACAAAAATGCTGTGGATAAGAAGCACAAATGATAACTGTGCTCAGTCTATTTTAACCCAAAAAAAATTTCAGTACATACAAATGAAAGTGTACACACTGATAACTGCATGTGAGAAATCACTGACTTAAGTGGAAATACAATTTTTCCAAAACAGCAGTGGGTGAAGCTGAAATATAAAATCACATTCAAACCTATGTCTTTCAAAGAAATAAACAATCAAAGCTCACAAACCAATTCTGGAATTATCAAACTACTTTTATGACTACATGTTCCTCATCATGGTTGTACAATGTTCGTTTTCTTATCACATGTTAACTTCACCTTAACACGCCGTCTAGCACAGAATTGTCAAAAGCACTTGTGGATGTAGTAGTTGAAATTATGTAACAAATAATAAGAAACAATAATTGTTTAAAGACTCACATTAGTGATACACATGCCAGTCAAAATCCCCCATTACCATTATCAAAGAAGAGTTAATGTCACTTCTACCCTGAACTTCAATCCTGGATGGACCAGATACTGAAGTACAGGACAAGGGGACCCATACCGAATACATGGGAATATTATTTCATCCCTTATAGCAATATTCCATCTATTAATCTGTGAACGGTCTTCATTGCTTACACCTATTTGGGAATAAACTCCTTGTCGTGATGAGTCACCTGTCTATCCCAATGCTGAGTTATTGGTCTGTGTTTGACAGGGCTCCTCCATCACCTAGAGATCCGTGACTTCACTTGGGAATGACTATCATGGTAACAAGTTGTTACAGATTTAATTTCAGTTTACACTGAACAGTGAAAGGGATAATGTGCATCTTTATTTCAAAGCAGTCTTGCTTGGTAGTTGACGGTTGTGAGTGGGCAGTGTCTTGACCTCTGGCTAGACAGAAAGGCCAGCACCACAGAATGTTCTATCTTGACAACTGAACCTGAAAGACTTCGGCCCACAATAAAAACACACAAACAAAGCCTGAAATAAATCATGATTACAACAAGCATATCTTAGACAACAAATATTCTACTTGTAAGTGAAGCATTCTACAAAACCAATAGACAGACACCAAATATTTAACATTGACTCTCTGGAGCATATAGTGCATGGAAGAAGGTGTATGTAGAGTGGTTTGATCAGTCACAGTACAGTGACACATTCACACAGTCTCAAGTAGAGGTACACATGGTTCTAACTGGCTACATGTTTCAGCTCATTTTCTCTGAGTCACCATGGAGGCACTGAAACACTGCTGCAGTAACACAAATATCAAATCACCATTTTGCAGTGCAGAAACATTAACTCAGCAATGCTTTAACATGCTGAAACATTGACTCAGCAATGGTTCAATGTGCTGAAATATTAACTCAGCAATGCTTCAATATGCTGAAACATTGACTCCACAATGCATTAACACTGACTTACCAATGCTTCAATCTGCTGAAACATTGACTTAGCAATGCTTCAATATGCATAAACATGAACTCAGCAATGCTTCAACAATAAGAGCAATGCTTCAATGTTGAAACCTGACTCAGCAATGCTTCAACAATAACAGCAATGTTTAAACCATGCTGAATCATTAACAAAGTAATGCTTCAATGTGCCGAAACAGTAACTCTGCAAATGCATCAACAAAAACAGCAATGTTTAAACCATGCTGAAACATTAACAAAGTAATGCTTCAATGTGCTGAAACATTAACCCAGCAATGCATCAACAAAAACAGCAATGTTTAAACAATGTTGAAACATTAACATAGTAATGCTTCAATGTGCTGCAACATTAATCCGAGGTGTTTCAATGTTAGACTTTAACACAGCAATGCTTCAATGCTAAAGCGTTAGCTCAACAAGGCTTCAAATCAACAGTACTGCAGCAGTGCTTCAGCAGATCATTTAAACTGTCTCACTTCCCAGTTGTAGGGACAGACCTATCATACTTCCCTCCACAGTTAACAAATCACAGGCCTTCTAATATTCTTCCACTGTATTTGGCTGCTGATTGGCTTAAGAGACAAGGCACCAGATTGGTTGGGTGGGTGTCTCATTCCACATTCTATCATTTGCATCAGTACTCTTGTCACATACAGTATAATGTACATTTTCTTATTTTCAAATTAATTATAAACTACAAGTTCAGATTTTGTAAAATATGTTCAAGAAAATTACAGCAATGTCAAACGTCACAACACCCCATGCTCAAGAGCTTGTAGGGCGAGGTTTAGAATGCCCCAAGTTCCAGTGTCATACTTGGGACCACTTGAAATGTGATGTCACCTTCAAGCATCCTTCAATTCACAACAAACGTCTTCAATCACCTGATGGTGATGCTACTCGGCGTCTATCCGGCGTAACTTGCTGAAATCATCACCTGAATCAACCAGCAATGTGTCATTCATTGCACTAATCACAGCATTATAATATCATTCGTTAATCACTGACCATCATCAACATCATCGTAAGTCTCTACCTCTGATGACACGATGAATTCTTCCAATCCATTGTCATTAACTGGTCTATTCCATTTCCAGGGGAGATCAGGTTGTCTTTTCAAACCACTTGGTTCAGTTCTCTCTTTTTCTCCTTGTTTTTGTCGTTACTGACAACACTTACTTCTTCCTCGCTTGAATATCCATAATTAGTGTTTACGTTGCGAGAATTCTCATTTTCAACGACAACCTGAACCGACTCTTGAACAACTCCCCCGACAGCACCCTCATCTGAGTTCACAGACTCATTATCGTGTTCACCCTCAACCGACCTTGACCCCTGAACTGGCACGACCTCTCCCCTTACAGCTTCTGGTAGTCCTGAAAACAGTAAGCAAAGCACTGAGTGACACCAACTCTGTTCAGCTGTAAAAACTTCATCTTTGGACTTAATCAAAAACAATATATTTCAAAACCATCACAACATAAAGGAACAAAGCATATGCAGCATTCAAAATTAGGATTTGTCCAGGAGCACTTGCTGTTTGCTCATATAGTTTTTGAATCTAGAGGCTCTAGAGAGTGACTTCCTTAAGTGGCATTTAGAAGCTGGTGTGTGGACCTACACCAAAACGTCGCATCTACTGCAACAAAGAAGTTGCCTATCCATAAAAAGTATTCCTCTTCATCTCTAGAGAGTGGTTATTTAGTTATAAAACCTGAAGTATGGATTAATGTCTTGTCCCACAGGTAGAACACCCTCAAATATCTTCTCACAATCCACACCTAGAAAACTCTAGCTTTTCATATGCTACTCTTTTGAGTGCCTCTACCACTGAGCTATTGGTTAAGGTAAATCAGGTTGGTTCGCAGCCTGCTTCTAAAGCTGCAAAATGTTATGGAAAAATCAAACAAATTCAGAAGATACCTGTCCTAAATCAAGGCTTGGAGGAATTCTAAATTGTAATCTTCACTTGTAGAAAGTTATTTTGCTACCATGTTAACATTAAAGAGATTCTCAGACACGTTCAGTGCCAGACAGTAGACTACACAAGAATGAAACACACCTGAAGTGTCAAAGGTCGACCTGCGACTGGGACTACTTCTGGTTTGACCTCCCAGGAGAGGCGTGGCCTCTGTTGGAGAAGCGGTGCTGTTCTCCTCGTCAGACTCGGAGTCGGACTCTGCATCCTGGCCTGGTATCACTCGTCGCTTGCACACGGGACACGTCTTCTTGTTCTTCAGCAGCCAGGGGTCTATACACTTGACATGGTAGGCTGAAACACCAGACATGGACGGTGTTCTAGTCACATTACCCATCTCATCCTTCCCCCTACATCAATAGTTAGGGGTGAAATGGTATGCCCTCACCACGGTACGGTAGTATTGCGGTACAAGGTTTTCGGTTCAGTCCGTTTCGGTTCGGTATATGAGATATGATCATAATGCAGAAAATTGACAAGAGCCAAACCTTACATTGTTTCAAAACATGGAAGAAAATAACCATAATCTTTGTGATTTTGAATGAACAAAACTGTCATATTATGACTAGATAGAATGACGCTACGAGAACATAAAATACCTTCTTTTTTTTATTGCATACGGTATACCAAACCAAAGGCAAAATACCGTGATATACCATTTCACCCACATTAACAATCTGTCCGAATTTGTGAGTTTCTTTCACATAATGTGGGAAGAAAGTGTTAAGTGATGCAGACTGCAAACAGTTACATCTTTGGTGAAAATAAGTGTCAAGTAGTATGGGTAGAACAATGCTTTGAGAAGCAATTACATTATATATTAGTGTGTTAGTATAACGTGGAAAGGGAACCTGATTTGAAACAGGTGTTAGACCTTTACCACTTTGCTGAAAACTTCCATGAGAAATTAGTATGGCTGTGGTAAACAAAGGATCATTAACAGGAGACATCTTGGATTGAAACCAAGGAAGCAATCCTGGCATTGCCTAAGGGACACAACTCTGCATAGTGAATTCCAGCGGAATCATCTACGATACTAAACTTTATAAACAAATAAAAAAGAATAATCCCAAATATATTGCGGGTTACACTTTCTTTTAGACTGGTTGGTTGTATGTCAGTTATGATCATCATATAATTGTCATGTGATTATCATGTGGTTATCATGAGGTTATCCTTACCATGTGAGCATGGCAACACCCTCATCTTCTCGCCTTCCTCGTAGTCATCCAGACATATAGCACAGACATCATAGTAGTCACCTGCAACATCAGAGACTACAGGTCACACCTGTCCACACTTGCACTAGAACACTCACAAACTGTAAAGAACCAATATTGTCCAACTACTCCAGGCTTCAATGAGTAGACATAGAACTATTTCCATATGTCAGTCAAACACTGAGGCAATATAACAATATCTTGTATACATACAATACTTACCTTTCTTGAACTTCTTAATTGGTATCTTTTTAAGGTGTTTTTTCGATAACCTTGACCTTCTCTGGCGCCTGATGTCACGACACCATTTAGCGATCTGAAACATCAGAAAGGTTGCTGTCAAGAGTTTGCAATGAAAACATTTCAAAGTCTTTGACATTTTAGTTTCATGGAGTACACAAGTTTATTTCACAAGGATGATGAGTTGGTGAAGGAATGAATAAAGTTTTTCGGTGCTACAGTAAATGATATTCCAGACATACACAAATATATTTCAAGGCACCCATGAACTTCAGAGCCTGGAAAGGCAATGAGTGACTGACGGCATGAGCTAATCCTCCCAGATCAGGCATGAAGCACCTTAGGAATAGCATTTGATACTTCATTTCATGTACATAATGGGACTGTACTTCCTGATGTTTATTTTCGTGTAATGATGTTCACATGGTCCACCATTGTAGCTGCATATATAACCAGTAACTAGTTATCAGTTTCACTGCTTGTGAAGTTAAACCAAAATACACTTTGTGCTAAATAACTGCAATGATTATGAATTGACAATTTTATTACAATGAAAATATCAAATACAGCAAATTGTCAATCAGTATTTTAACATTGGTTGAAAAGATTTCATCACAGTGCCCACTAACAAATTCCAGCATGAATTAATTAGTATGATAAATATGTTATAAAACATGTCGAGCATTCATAATGATAACAGACATTCTCTTTGCATTTAAAACCACACAGAAGGAGTTGAAATTGCTTCTTTTAATCATATTAAAGAACATAGTGATCTTGATATCAATTTTCAACAGTCTGTAATTTGAACTCAAAAAGGTGAAAAGGTTTTAAACATAACACAACCAATCCTGCATACCCTCTATGTTCTTGGATGCAGTGATGCTTGCTGAACCAAATCTGACCTCAAGTATTCAACAAAATGTCAAGTACGTACCATGAACACCAACATAAGACAGAAGCATGTTCCTATGACGATGGCGAAGGGCCAGAGGTAGACTTTGTAGTCAATGTCGGGGATACCGTCGTCAATGTTGATGAGGACGTTGGTGTTTTTGTAGTTGTATTCGGTGCCAAGGGTGATGCCGTTGTGGTAGCCAACAAATACTGAGGGGATAGTAATCTCACTGCCATCTGTAATGATGAACATGTTATTAAATGATGCACATTCATTAAGCCAGGAGGTGAGGCAACATGGAGTTTAACTTTGTTTTTCTAGATAAAAGCACATCAATAGCCATGTACATGCAGCTACACATGTGTGAGAGTGAGTGAGTGAGTTTACTTTTACGCCGCACTCAGCAATATTCCAGCTATATGGTGGCGGTCTGTAAATAATTGAGTCTGGACAAGACAATCCAGTGATCAACAGAATGAGCATCGATCTGCGCAAATGAGAACTGATGACATGTGTCAACCAAGTCAGCAAGCCTGACCACCCGATCCCGTAAGTCGCCTCTTGCGACAAGCATGGGTTACTGAAGGCTCATTCTAACCCGGACCCTCACAGGTACATGTGCATGTGTGTGTGGATGCTTGTTCAAGTCTAGACAAATGCTGGTATCATGTTGGTAGCCCATAGTGTTGTGAATGTTAGGAACACAAACTTGGTGGAGTCTTCAAGATAAATTCCATCATGACCTGGAACAAACTTGTAGTGCTTATGAAATCTAAATTGAATGACAGACAAAACCAACCTTGTGAAAAACATTGTTAATGCAAACAAGTGTTCCAAAATTGTTTGTGTTCGATTATGAGAAAACATGGTCAATTGCTTGGTTGTTTAGTCACTGCGACCAATCTTTGTTTATTTCAATTAATCGGACGATCACTAGTAGACCACTGTCATACAATGCTGCTGTGTTAACAGCTTTTAGCGTCTTTTGGTTAGTTTGTTGTTAAATGACGCTGCAATTTTCCAGCTACTTGACAATGGTTTTAAAATATTTGAGGATGGACCAGACAATCCAGTGACTGACATCATGACACGATGACATGCATCAACCAAGTCACCTGACCGCCCAATCCCTGTAATCGTTTCTTATGACAAGCATGGGTTTATCAAGACCAATTCTAACCAGGATCCCCACCGATTTCTTTTGTAATGATGCAGCCAGGATTGGACCACTGGCTTTGGCAGGTGCTCTATTCATAACAACATGGAACACAGCTGATAGCAGCTAGTTTATTAGTGTGAGAGTAATTAAATACAATTACACATTCAGCTATATTACCAACATAATAAGGGCTTGTAGTCTGACCAATGGTTGAAAGTGTGAGCATACCATGGTCAACATAAATAACAAGACAGATGGAACCTTCAATAATCAAGTGATTACCAGGCACATAGCAAGCCAATTTCTTCATGTAAGCTCAATAGGTTGCAAAGCTTGGAGCACCTTTAGAATACAGCACCACAACTTCTCGTGAGGACGATCTCTGCCGTAGGTCACGTGTCATTAAGACAAGCAACCAGTTTGTGAGAACCCGTCGGATGCGAACCCGCGAACCTTCGGATTGTTAGCTTGACAGCTAACTGACTGAGATACGTCCACACTGTTACACAGTGTGAGAAAAATATTTCAAACTGATGCTTGCCAAAAACTGCGCATCTGCCGGTATACAACTACTGGAAACTCTCAACATAGTTGGGCTTATGCAATGACATAGCTAGTAGAGATGAAACACCAGTGAGCGGAGCTTATACGCACTCACTGAGCCAGACAACCATGTTGCTATGCAGGCATCATAGGGCATTGTTTCGAGAACATGCTTTCGAAAAAAATCACATAAAATTACGTAAAAGAGTATTTGGACGTACAGTCAAATCCCGATGAGTCGAATCGCTGGGGACCAAGTAATAAATTCGTCTTATCGATGTATTCGAGACATAGGTATGTCTATGAGGGTAGAAAAAAGATGATCCAGTCCTAATTCCTCCACCTAAGCATTTGTTTATCTAATGATTTCCCTATCACTAATAGGGGCACCTTATCAGTTCCAGTCTGATTAGCACAGACAGTGATTTCCGTAAAATCACTAATCTGCCTTTTGAACTAACCCGTCAATGGCGGAAAGGTGTGAGCTGCGCTGGTTTGTTAATTTGATCAGTTTGCTACACCAATCAACTTCTCATTGACTGACTTCGGCTTATGTATACAAGATTGCTGTTGTTTGAATCTCATGGGACCAAATTTCCTTCTCGCGTCATCGTGTGTATTTATGAGACGAATTCGTGTAACCGGTATTCAAATGATGACAACTATAACAGGGAATGGTCGGGACCAACAGGTACTTCGAGTTATGCATAATATTCGAGACACCGGCATTCGACTCATCGGGATTTGACTGTATTTTTAAAGTTTGTGGTGCTGCAAGGTAGACCCAAAGCTTTATATTTAGATAGTACTTGAGGTATTTTTGGCAAGAATTAGAAAAAAGTGTTTTTTAGCAAAAATCATGTGTAAGCCCGGGCTTTTTTATAATCGTAGCTACACCCCTGATTTCTTGTAAAAGAAGACAAAAAAACCTCACAGTATTAAATTTACAAAGATTAAACCTTATCTAACAATTTCATATTGGCTTTACCAAGGCCTTATCAATGCGACAAATACATGCTCCAAGCTTGTAGACATGACTACCTAACACTAAACCAGAATCAACCAGGAGTTCTCTACAAATCACAATATTTCTAACTTTAAACATCTGTCTTTGACTGGATGACTGCAAGAGGAAGCGTTCTTTCTTGGGAAGATCACAAATATGATTTTCCACCAAAGCAATTGTCCCATCAATGACTGGTTTAGTGGTAACTGCCATTTTGACATATTGCTGTTGGACAGCTTGACAATACCTGTCTACATCTGTCATGTTACCAGCCAAGACTCTGCAACCAGGTGTTTACTGTAAAACCCCAAATCTCACCCTATAGTCTTACCTTTGATGAAAGCGGTGTCACAAGGCTTTTCCATTTGATGAAAAGGGTGTAACAAAGCTATTCTAGTTCACTGGTGTGAGCTTTTTCACAGCATAAAGCAATATTTCAGAAATGGGCTGCACACATTGTACCCATGTGGGGAATCGAAGGATACCTGTTGCCTTCTATTTCATGATAGGTAATACATTGAAATGTTGACAGAAAGGGCATCCTTTTCCATTTTTAATATAGGGGTTTCAAGACTACTCCATGTGAAGACTAAATCACTGGGTCATTCCATTTGACTATAGGGGTGTTAATTGTGACACTTACCACCTGGCATATTAAAAATCTTGTCCCTTCCTTCTGAATTGTGTACAATAGCAACATTGTAACCTCTCAGCTGTGCGTTATAAACCTGAAATATTCACACTGCATTCTTACACCATATTCCAAGGAATCTACCATCACCATTGTAACAAGCACATTAAGACACCATGCAGAATACACCCAAATCCATAGGTTTAGTCAGATGTATTCAAAATGGTCTCCTATGTTAATGGCACCAAGGAAACCATGCAATCAGTTGCTATAGAAACAAACAATAACCATGGGGAAAGCTTAGTATCACCATGGCAACACACCATGCAAAGGACTTACATTTCCCTCCTCCCATTCTGACGAGTTCATCGTTGTTGAAGCTGTTTTGAACTATCGCCATATCAAAGTGCGCTTGTTGCGCGTGCAATACCTGAAAATACACCAAACCATTTCTTCAGTGGCTTCATTTGGGGATCAGCACTCGTCATTTGGTTCAATCTCATTACAATAAGATCTTTGATTGAATACAGTCAGATCTTTAACTCTGTTTGAATACCTGTCTTGATCACGATCTGACAAAGCCTCCATTTTCACAACTTCAAGACACACAGACGAAAGCAAACACACGCCTTGCTTTGGAAGAGCAATGAAGGTTAAGTTTCTCAGGAAGGACAAAAGTTTACATACGTCAATCTGCAGTAATTCAGACAGACGTGTCACTCTAGTGACTGACACAACCTGCAATGGTTATAGTTACCTAGTCACAATATTCCATACACACGGGAATTGTGAAAATGAAGGGAGGTGACTGTGTAAATTCCACCAGAAAGGACATATGTTATAGGAGAAGTGTACAAGATAAATACACCTTTATATCTTGTGTGAAGCAAAATGGAAGTTTTGAATTAGTTAATATCAATGCTTGAAAATATACACTCATTTTTTTCTCACACTGAAATGTTCAATATAAGTGTTGAAATGTTTAAGAGTTATGCTCTGGACAAAATAATCGAACACATTTGGCTCTAAAGTCGTGTTCCCATGGAAACAGCAAAAATACAATTCAGTATCTGGATCTAAACCCCAAAAGGCACATCTAGGGATCATGCTTGATATGTGTACCAAGTTTGATGAAGCTAGCATGTATAGTTTGGAAGATCTGCTCTGGACAAGATGACATCCTCATAGTCACAGCCTAAGTTGTGTTTCCATGGAAACAGCAAAAAACTAAATTCTGAAAAAACTTTAAAATAGCAAAAGGCACATCAATGGGTAATGATTAACATGTGTGTGAAGTTTGGTGAACCTAGCATGTAAACTTTTATAGAGATATGCTCTGGACAAAATAATCGAACACATTTGGTTTCTTAGTAGTGTTTCCATGGAAACAGCAAAAATACAATTCATATCTGGATCTAAAACCCCAAAAGGCACATCTAGGGATCATCCTTGATATGTGTACCAAGTTTGATGAAGCTAGTATGTATAGTTTGGAAGATCTGCTCTGGACAAGATGACATCCCTTATAGTCACAGCCCTCAAGTCGTGTGTTTCCATGGAAACAGCAAAAACTAAATTCTGAAAAACTTTAAAATAGCAAAGGCACATCAATGGGTAATGATTAACATGTGCTTGAAGTTTGGTGAACCTAGCATGTAAACTTTAAGAGATATGTCTGACAAAGTTTCGGGGACGGACGGATTGGACGATCGACGGACGGACAGAATGAACGCATATATACCCCGCTACTTTGTAGCGGGGTATAAAAGTGTTGAAATGTTATGCCATTATGAGGCCTTTGCTTTCTATGATAAACAGGCTAGAGTTACCCCCTTAGATTATATGACATCATTCGTGGTCCATTTATTTAGACTGGTCTATGCTCCAGTCCCAAAGCAAACAATATCCATTGTGCAATTGATCGGTCGAAAAAGTATTTAAAAAAACAAAAGCTGCAGTATAATTGAAATTATTGAAATGATAGATTGTATTTTTATTCATAACTCACTTCAATGAAAGTACTAGATATGTAGAACAATGTTGTAGTACATATGATATCACTATTGGCAAATGACTTTCACAAAATTGGCACATTCACTGAAAACTCAAGTACAAGTCAAGTCTCGCTAATCGGACATCGTTCGTTGGACAACAAATTGTCGGATTAATTCGGGGACGCCGGATTATCGAATTCTGAAAACAGATCATGTTCAGGGTCAAAAACAGGACAATGCGTGATTTATATATATATATATATATATATAAAGAAAAAAAGTGTTGAGAATACCAAATACAGTAGTACATATATATAAGAAGAAGTTTCTGAAATAATTACACAACACGGATCTTCTCCAACATGTTTCACTTTTATCTTCAGGGAGAAGATAATATTCCACACAATTTAGGGGATTGAAGCTATATCATTCTTGGTTACACGAATATCCAGCATTACTCCCAACCACGATTCTCCCAAGGAATTAGATCATAGAAAGTGTTACATTCATATTGAATAATAATACATTTAATTTTGATGGGGAACATTATAGACAAATGAAGGGTACAGCAATGGGAACCAAAATGGCACCCCGCGTGATGCTAACGTTAGTTTTAGGTTATTTGGAACAAACTCTGGAAACGAAAGTGAAAGAACAGTTAGGACCTGAAGTCGCTGAATACTTTAGGAACAAATTGGCGGCGTTTTGATCTATTGATTACCTTCATGTTATGGCCCTTTGGAGATGAAAAATTAACTCTGTTTTATAACATCCTAAATAAATTGAACAAACATTTACATTTCACCATGGACTCAAATTATTCTGAAATTCCATTTTTGGACATCATGGTAAAACTATGTGGACGTAATCTAGAAACAGATATATATTATAAACCTACAGATACTAAACAATACCTTCATTTTTCATCTTGCCACCCGAGTCATATAAAGAGAAGCATTCCCTATAACTTAGCAAGACGTATCTGCATGATTGTGTCACAAATACCGACAAGGAACATAATGACTTACAGAACTAAAATCATATCTACAGTCCGTGGATACCCAGTTCTTCTTGTGGAAGATGGAATAAAGAAAAGCAATAAACATAGACAGAAGGACACTGTTGAAAGTTAAGTGATAAACAAATAAATAAATACCACTGTCAATCTGGCCTATGTTTCCAACGCACAACCCCAAGAATCTCGAACTTTTCATATATATATATATATATATATATATAGTGTGTGTGTGTGTGTGTGCTAATGGAACTTATAGATCTAAGAGTAGATGTAACAAGCATCAATACATCTATCTATTTCCAACCTTTTCGGAATTGATGAGAAATGAGCTCTTTAGCAAATACGCTTATTCAATTTGTTACCATCAAAAGTAAGCCTGGATAAAGTTTCCATTGTCGGATAAACGAGTCGGATTAATCAGGACTTGACTGTATCGTGGGAATATTGGGAAGGAGACTTCAGATGATTCAGGATTGTATATGCTTAAATGTGACATGTAAGTAATTAGAAACATTCTGATCCATCTACATGCTGCTGCTGTCTCTTTTCTTGTTTCACTGTAACCTATGAGAAAGTAGTATAGAAATAAGGACCAGAGCACTGTTAATGGTGTGTGAGTTTGGCTGGAGAGTCAAGTGGCATCATTACGTAATATGCAACTATAATAAACTTCATTAGATATGTACCAAATCTTTGGAAATACATCTATTTTATGCATTGTTCACATTTCAAACAGGTTTCTGGGGCACAACTTTCTTATCAAATCTTAAATAATGATCATGGTATTAGATTACAAAGACTAGCTTGTTATTTTATTGTATAAAATGTATAGAGAATTCTTTGATTAATGTAAAGGAGACTTCAGTTTGAATTATACATATGATGAAAATGGGCTTAACTTAACCGACATACATTTGTGAGGTGAGAATTGAAATTGGGTTTAACGTCAGCCATTGAGAATATTTAAGCTTCATGTGGCGAATGCATGTGCATGAGTCTTATGGGTATGTGGAAACAACTGCTTGTACTAGCCCAGACTGAAGCTGGTTTTATAGTGCTTACAACCCACTGAGATACCATGCCGCGGTGAAACATAAAATACCCCACTCAAGACACATTTCATTATGCAGACTCGGAAATGTAATTCAGTCCCTCGTTAGCACCCAGTAGTACCGGCGCCGGAAACAGGGACCAACAAGCATGCGGCAGTAACGCCTATGGCCATGACGGTGAGAGGGGATCGAACCCAGCTTACCTTCCGCTATACCACGTGAGGCAGTCGATTATACATTTGCCAATGTATAAACACTCATGCAATGTGTTGGAAAAATTCCACTGGCATGGTGTTGATTTACACATGTTTTGTTGAAAATATTGAGCGGTTCTTGAGTTATGCTCGGAAACAAAGCCACCCCTCACTTTTGGGATTAAGTCGAATCGTTTCCATGGAAACCGGGAAAAATAAAAAATACAAAAATCTGCAAATAGCAAAAGCACCACTTAAGGTTCTGTTTGATATATCTATCAAATCTTGTTGAAGAAAAATATTGAGCGGTTCTTGAGTTATGCTCGATGTGAAACCCACCTTCCTTTGAGACTAAAGTCTGAATCATTTCCATAATAATAAATAATAAATCACAAATATCTGCAAATAGCAAAGGCGCCACTTCAAGATCTGCCTCACATATCTGCCAAGTTTTGCTGAAAGATATAGAGAAGTTTTTGAGTTGTGCTCCGGAAACGAAGCCCACCCCTCACTTTTGGGACTAAGTCCGAATCGTTTCCATGGAAACCGGGAAAAATAAAAATGCCAAAAATCTGCAAATAGCAAAAGGCACAACTTTAGGATCTGTTTGATATATCTACCAAGTTTTGTTGAAAAAAATTATACAGTTTTTGAGTTGTGCAATCCTTACTTTCTGAGACTAAGTCTGAATCATTTCCATGGAAACCAGGAAAAGTAAAAATGCTAAAAATCTGTAAATAGCAAAAGGCACCATTTTAGGATCTGTTTGATATATCTACCATGTTTTGTTGAAAAATATTGAACGGTTCTTGAGTTATGCTCCGGAACCGAAAGCAATCCTTACTTTTTGAGACTAAGTCCAAAATGTTTCCATGGAAACCAGGAAAAATAAAAATGCCAAAAATCTGCATTCTATTGAACGGTTAATGAGTTATGCTCCGGAAACGAAGCCCACCCCTCACTTTTGGGACTAACTCCGAATCGGGAAAAATAAAAATGCCAAAAATCTGCAAATCGCAAAAGGCACAACTTTAGGATCTGTTTGATATATCTACCAAGTTTTGTTGAAAAATATTGACCGGTCTTTGAGTTATGCTCCGGAAACGAAGCGCACCCCTCTTTAAGACTAAGTCCAAAACGTTTCCATGGAAACCAATAAAAATAAAAATGAC